TAGTTTAGACTCATATACCTATTGGAGTTTTGAGAAGCAGTTTATACTCGTATACTCTTCGGAGTGTCAGAAGGAGCAGTTTATACTCTTATACTTGTCGAGTCTTCATTCGACTTAATTGAGCATTATGACGCCGGCTTCAACCAAGGTTTGGATGCTATTCTTGAGAGCGAAGCAAGTCTTGGTAGGATGAAGGATCCTCCTATGGTACACATAGTACTTTGGATCTGTAGTATTGTCAGCTTCCTCCTGATCTACGATAGGTGGTAGCTTGATCTTATTATTTTTAAGGAGGGACTCGAAAATAGCTGGAACATCTTCGTCCTTGAAGAAGTACTCTTTTTGGAGTCTCGAATCCGAAGTCTTTTGCTGCTTTCGGGGTTGTTGTTACGACGTCTGATTAATTTCAACAACTGCTGCATGTGTCTTTCCCTTACCCCTGGAGGCGAAGTTCGAGTTTGGAGGATTAGCCGTCGATTGGCTCCTCTCGGCCTTCTTCCTTTGGAGGAAGCATTCGGCCCACTCTCCGCGCATCTTTAACTCTTTCCAGGTGTTAGACAGTGCTACTTTCATGACTTCCAACATGTCCAAGGAGAGGTTGTTGTGACAGGTTTAGAGGATGAAGTCCTCCGTGATCGGATCTCGACAGTTCATCGCCTTATTCCAGAAGCGTTTGACGAAGTCGTCGACTGTCTCGTCATCTTCTTATTTCTCATCAAAGAGTGTTCTAATTAACACCTCGGCGTCATCATCAAAGAAGTGAGCGAGGAACAGATTCTCTAGGTCATCCCAGCTATTGATGCTTGTAGACTTAAGACGGCGGTACCAATAGAAGGTGGGCCCGTGAAGGGTACCAATGAATGACCGAACCATTAAGGCTTCATTGCTGGAGATCATACCCAAGTGGGACTTGAAGTAGATCAGATGTTGAGTGGGCGAACCCTACCCGTCAAACGGCGTGAAGTTTATCAGGTTGAACTTCACCAGATACGTGATCGAATCTCACTCTCTCGGGTAAGGACACGGAATTCCGATCTTCTTTACCTCTCGATCAGACATCAGAGCGTTTTATTTTCTCTCGAGGTCCTTCATCTTTTGGTCCTCATTTGTATCATACTTCAGATGATTTGTGAGGAGAACAACAGGGCCATCCCCAGTGTTGTCATTATTGGCGGGACCACCCCCGGTGTTGTTGTCTTCAGTGGGACCACCCCCAGTGTTCTGATCAATGGGAGGGTTCTCAGCATTAAGACGTTCATCCATATCTGAATCGCTACCTGCTTAGTCAGTAAGGTTGCGATGGCTGGATTCACCGAACTGATTGGACAGAGCCCGAATTTGTTGGTCATGCTCTTCCCTCATCCATAGCATAGCCATTTCGATTTCAATCTTGAATGCCTCTTTCTGTTTGATTAGAGCATCCTCGAGAATTTTAGCGATTTGCTCGGTATTGATCATGAATACCTCATGGGATTGTCCTGGGCTGGACACCGTTTGTCAGAAGTGACTGCAGAGTTGGCATCTGATGCTACATCATCTGAGGATAATCCTCTTTGCATTCTCTGATAATCTCTTTGTTTAATAGTTCCATATCACAACCGGGTTAGACGATGCGATATAAGCGGGTTAGAGCTAGAAGGTCGAATCGACTTTCCCTTATCAGCCATATTTATTGTGACTTCCGGAAGTTCGTCACCTTGAACGGCCGATTGTTTCTTGCGGAAACGTTTTGGCTTGGACTTAGTCGCTCTGTTAGAGATCCTCTCAAATACCGAGACCCTCTACAGAGCAGTCTTGGGGTAGCTACACGCTGATAATACTACCCTAATAAGTTTGGCACACGGGCAGTGAGATTTTGTTTCCCGTGTATTTCTCTTCTGAGACTTGTTCGTACCCCCAGCCCGATAGTACAACTCGTTGGTCAGATGACCGGAGCAACCTATCGTGTGTTGGCATGACTCCCCTGGTATAACGTTGTCATCGTCAGATGAATACGTTTCTTTCAGGGGATTTGCCATCTTGTTGGCATTCTCAAGAGTCACGCGTTTAGAGTCACGCATTTGTAAGCGTGAACTCTTGACGGGCTCTTGGACTTTAATTCGCCGTCCGAGATGGTCAATTATAGGAGTTTTCCGTGTGTGACCCCCGGCTTGAGTAGTTGCCCAGGATTCAGTCACCCGACGCAAGCGTTCTTTGACTGGGGTTTTACCTCGACCCACGTATGAGGGACCAAGACGATCCATGCTCTTCATCTTAAATTGGGACAAATCCACGCTGTCGCGGTGCTCCATCGGAGGTGCGGAACTCGAAGGGTCAGATTTGAGTGACCCGCGGGTTGGAGGGTCGGATTCAGGTGACCCGCAGGCAGGAGGGTTAGATCTGGGTGACCCGCAAGCAGGAGGGTCGGATCTGGGTGACCCGCGGCTTGGAGGGTCGGATTTGGGTAACCCGCGGTTTGGATTTAGGTGACCCGCGAGCAGGAGGGTCGGATCTGGGTGACCCGTGAGCAGGAGAGTCGGATCTGGGTGATCCACGGCTTGGAGGGTCGGATTTGGGTGACCCGGGAGCAGGAGGGTCGGATCTGGGTGACCCACGGCTTGGAGGGTCGGATTAAAGTGACCCGCGTTTTTTGATCTTTTCGGCCGCCATCTTGGACTTTAACCTCCATACTTTATGCAGTCTTGGTTATTTCTTGGCTACGTCCTTTTGCATCTTTTGTGCCTTTTGCACAAGAATTCGCGCGTGCGCGAGCAGTGTGCGGCGCTTTCGGATTCATTCCTCAAAGGTCAAACGGGTCCTTTTGACTTGGATCCATTCATTCATTAAGGACTTAGAGGGTTGGTCATTCGTCCGCTGTTGGGGCGCTCGACGCTCATTGAATTTCAGATCTGTTTCGTAGCGGATCCCGTCTACAGGCTCCAAAGCCTTAGCGAATTAGCACGCGAGGCGTTGGCACTGCCTTTGGCGAGCTCTTTTCGAGAAAGTAGGCGTGCCTTCAGTACTCAACTCCTTAATTGAGGAGAAGTTCAGATCTGTAACTCCGGCTTCATTGGAGACCGGAGGGGCGTTGCAAGGTGCAGCTACCTTAGCAACGGGGGTGTTGATCTTCCTGCACTTGCGAACGGAGGAAGATCTGAAGGAGGAGGATGACAGATACTCCTCGAAATTCTGTTGGTCGAACTCATACTCGAGCTTTTCTTCAACCAGGATCTGGATCCGAGGTTGTGACACGTCAGCCTTCGCAGAAAGGCTGTCGGCTCCCACTATGGTCGCCATTTGTTTGTGTCGAAAATTGATTTATTCATTACGGTATTCATTACAACTTTAGTCGTTACAATGAAAATAAAAAAATAGTCTTTTTATAAGACTCTTACACAATAAAAATAAAAATTACAACTCTCGTCAAAACAAACGCAAGGAGATCGTTTATCGGTCTTCTGCTTGCGTGGGTTCTTTGCCTGTGCCAGGGATTTTGATATCCGTGGACCGCTTTAGATCTGGATTCGGTTGATGGAAAATTAGGCAGAGCTTCGCCTTCACCGAGGGAGTATTTGATTGAAGTGCTGAAATCGACCAAGTGAAATCAGTAGCTCTTCTCGAGATTAAAACAAAGCCTAATCTCAAGGAACGGACGTACGGGCTTCAGATCCTTCGAATAGCTCCTTCTTTATGCTAGAGTTCGCCGGGATCTCACTAACCCTCACTGAAATTCGTGACTCTTGGCTCTGGAATTTGACAGCATCTCCTCATCTTGATAATAAATTGCCCCCAGTGAAATGAGCCCCTAGGCCTATACTTATAGGCTTCTGTTGGGGGTTTTGGATAAGAATGAGTGATTTGGCCTTATCTTCAGTCAATAACGGCCTAACCACGTTTGTAGATGATATCTAGGCAGTTAGAAACCTATGAAATAGAAGAAACCGATCGAAACGGCCTAAAAACATGTTTTGGAGGTTACAGGCAGTTCTATAGATCCGACCCGCCGCCGTGCGGGTTAGTTTGAGATATTTTTAGTATTTTGATCTTAACTCTCTAGTTCGATCTCGGATTGAGCTAGTTGAAGATGCGTTGGAAAGCTGACGAAGATACCTACAACTTTTTTCTTTTGAGTTTCTTCAGATTCAAATTGTAACATGGTCTAAATGCCTCTTCTTTTTGTAGGCCACTTTGAGGTGTTCGACACTTTCTGACTTCTCCGGACTTGTATTGCGTATTTCGTCTTTCCATTGACTTGCATACTTTGTTGACTTGCTTCATGTGCTCATTAGGTTCTTTATGGTACTTGGAGCTGACTGACACGTGCAATCTAACTGACGAGTGCGTTTGGTCACTTGGAGCTGACCGACACACGCGAGTTGACTGACAGACATGATGGCCAATTGGAGGTTCCCAGTGAGCACACGAGACACAGTTGGTTCGCCATCCTGGTTCATGTACTTATCGGCATCAGATAATCCTCCTAAACTCGGATAACAACGTTCGTCTCTTCTCTCCATCTCGAGCTGTGCGCGGACACCTATAGGCATTTTCAGACGCCTACAGTACCGCAAATGCTCTGCATGCTCCGCTTCACTCTTAGAGTACACCAAGATGTCATCAATAAAGACCTCCACAAACTTCTCCAATACATCATAGAATATCAGATACATTAGGTTCATGAATGTCGTCGGCGCATTAGTCACACCAAATGGCATCACTAAGAATTCATAATGTCCATATCTCATCCGGAACGCAGTCTTGTGGACATCAAAATTCTTAACCTTCACTTGGTGGTACCCGCTCCAAAAATCTAGCTTAGAAAATAATCTCAATCCTCCCAATTGATCGAAGATATCATCGATACGAGGAAGTGGATACTTATTCTTTACTGTCACCGTATTCAACTCCTGGTAGTCGATGCACATCCGCTTGGATCCATCATTCTTTCCCACAAGCAACACAGGTGCTCCCCAGGCCAACACACTGGGTCATATCAAGCCTTTCTGCAAAAGATCATCCAACTAAGTCCGAAGCTCGGCTAACTCAGCCGGGGGCATGCGATAAGGAGTCTTAAAGATCGGAGCAACTCTCGGATTCAAATCTATGGAAAACTCAATTGCTCGATCCGGTGGCAATCCATAAATATCGTCGGGAAATATATCTCCAAATTCTTGAACTACAACTGGCTTCTCGGATTCCACTTGCATTGTAGCTAATGTTTCCTTCTTCGGTCTAGCTATGTATTCTACATGTCCGGTCGAAGTACTGCTACTGAGGAACTCAAACCTTGGGTGATCCGGTATCTCAAATACTACGCTTTGACGACAACAATCAATGGTGGTAAAGAATGACCCTAACCAATCCATCCTAAATACTGCATCAAAGCTCAACAAATCAACCACCAGAAAGTCTGCAAAGAGTTCCCTCCCGCAGATAACCAAAGGACATGCTTCATAACCACTGGATGCTACTAGGACACCACTGCCAGTGTTAATATTCCAGCCCGTAGTCAGAGGAGTTATAGGAAGAGAGTAGGCACTCACAAATCGACGAGACAAGAAACAATGGGAGGCTCCAGAGTCATAGAGTGATAAAGCAGGACAGAAGAAACAAGAACCTTGCCTATTATGGGAGGATGTAAATACAACTAACTTAGTACTTATAAACAATCCTATCATGATATCATTAGGTAATGCTAAATAAAGAAGTTTATATGCAAATAAACTAAGATGAACAATTCTTACCCGTGATAACCTGGTCGCTCGCCTCAGCTTCTACGGCTGACATCATAAACATTTGTCACTGTGGTTGCTACCTTTGTGCTTCCTGATAAACCTGTCTCTACGGAGGAAGTGGTCCTGCTCAAGGATAAGGTCTTTGCTGAGGCGGTGCTTCTAGGGCAGGTCAGCTGGAAGAGCTGCTCAAACTAGAGGTGGGGGCAAGCTGGCCTACTGCTGCTACAGACAGTTCCAACTGGCATGATCGGGGGATCTACAGGCGTAGCACAGACGAAGACGCCTACGACACTCATGCTGGGTATGCCCAATGTAGCCATAATGGGTACACTTCACCGAAGATTGGCCATGGGACTGCACTCCAGGACACTGATAGGGGTGGACCTGAGAGGGTGGCTGACGTTGAGAATGTTGCTGCCTCTGCGGTTCCTGTTGCAGCTGCCTCGGAGAAGGACGCTCGACAATCCTAGCTGGAACTACTGGTGCCCTGCTCTGAATCACATGTGGGTCTTTAAGTTCCTTCTGCATGCTCTCAATCTCACGTGTTGCATCCAGTACTGCATCGTGCATCGCAAGTGCTCTACCAGCCAGAGCAAACCTGATATACTTATCCAGACCCTTCTGAAACTGATGCCTCCTAATAGTAGGATCTGTAGCCAGATGGGGAGTATATTGACTCAGGGAAGAGAACTCGGCCTCATACTCATCAAATGATCGGCCTCCCTGCTTGAGTTCAACAAACCTACACAGGAGTTCGCCCCAAGCTGACTAAGGAAAATACTTCTCGTTGAAGCGCTCTGTGAAAGTCTCCCACAGGATTGGCCTCTCCATATGGGTCTTCTCTGCTACCCACCATATTCGAGTGGTATCGGTGAGCTGAATATCCATGAGATCCACCCATTCAGCAAGGCAATACTGGTCACTGTGAGAATAGTCTTAGTGACCTTCGGGAACTCTTCCGCTGCTAAGGGTCCTTTAGCACTAGAGAAAGAAGGCGGTCACATGTACCAGAACTCCCTAACACCAGACTCTGCACGAGGGAGAGGCTGATGCTGTGGCTCCCTATGTAGCTGCCCAGCCAAGTGCTGCTGATTAGTGACCAATCCTTGAATCATCGCCAGAAGTTGGTTCGGATCCACTTCGAGCGGTGGGGCACTGTTACCAGACAGGTTACTATATCCACATGTACCCACCATGGTTCTAAAGGAAAGCAAGGATCAAGAGGAAAACTAAGGTTAAAATCAAAACACCATATTGGGAAAATAGGAACTGAAACATAGTTATTAAGAAAATAGTATAATAACTTAATTGTAGTCGAACATATAAAATATGATATGTATCTAAATTATCCACTATATTCTTACTAGTTAAGACTCGGGACCATGACCTGCATGGGCCACCATTAAAACCTGTCACGCCCCGCTTCCCAAAATACCCGGGAATCAGAACGTGAACAAGTCCGCAACGTATTAGATTGAGAAGAAATATACACTATAATTTTTTTCTTTTCTTTTCTTCTCAATCCAATACGCTAAGCGTCAAATACATATATCTCAATCACAGATCCCCGATCACAATAGCAAGAATATAAAGATAACCCAGAATGAGAAATAAACATATCATCAAGCAGATCATACTAGACATAAAAATATAGGTCCAACATATCCTTATTACAAAAACAATCCAACTAGTAATAAAAATACATAGTCCATAATAAAAGGAATTACTGATAAAATAACTAAATTCATCATCAACTAAAGAAATACTGTAAAAAGTTCTAATATTCCATAACTACTATAGAAGAAAACCACTACGCTTCAGTTTGTTCTTCTACTCCATCGGAAGGACACTCCGGCTGGCTATACACCGGCTTCGCTACATCATCGAATTGCATGTTGGGTCCTTTTGTTTTGATGATGATTAATAAACAATTTATAACTAATATTGTTTGTCTAGTGTTTATGTTTTGTATTTATTCTAGGTAAATAATATGTGTGAGGATGGATAGAATCGAGCATTTACGATCATATCCAATGGAGGTTGGTAGAATAGTGGAGTAAAACCTTGCAATTCAAGTTAAAGATTCAAGTTCAAGCTTCATCCGCAAGTTTACCAAGAAGAGTTTATTAAAGATTAAGATCAAGCTTGGGTAAAATAGTTTAGGTGTTATATTATGTGTGTAGATACTTTAAGCTCAATATTATATACACACACATTTTATTGGTTTGCATATATATATATATATATATATATATATATATGGGAAAAGTGTTCCTAAGGTGACGCCTTACATTATCATCTAAGGACACGGCCTAAAATCACATGATTGGGCTACATTATGGATGATCTATTCCGTTAAATTTGATCTATATATTCTAAAACCCCAACAAACCAAGTTTGGGGTAAACCCATCGTCGTTTGACCCTCCGTCGAGCCATGTGAAAAGTTCTATTCATTCAAAACCATTAAAATTGATACGAGTGGATGAAGGGTCAAAGATCAGCCACAAGAATTGGGCTGATTACCTGTTCCCGGGGAACGATGTCAAGGGGATTCCCGCTCTCCCATTAGGCGTGCGCGACCAGTCTGAAGTGGAGGCGAGGGCAGCTAAAGAAGGAAGCACTCTGACTCTTGACCGCGACGAGGGCGGGTTTAAGTCTGGTACTGTCCTTCACTCATTCCATCATCAGGCGAAGTTTCTCATCTCGGGGAAGGCGCTGCTCGCGGGGTACCTCATGTTATGGCTGAAGAGGTGCGTAATCCCCACTCACTCCTTTGAGGCTCTTCCTGTGGAATATATATATATATATATATATATATATAAGTTTTTGGTTTCTATGTATATATAGTTATATATATACATATATGTTTTGATTTGATTTCATAGATATGAAACAAATATATATTCATATACATACTCATATGTTTCATATTCTATTGTATTTATGAAAATATTGTATTCATTGTTTATAAACTTCATAACAATAGTTTTTATCTTCCATTAAGTCTATATAATCATTGTGTAAAGTTTTAAAATACGGTTTAGCCAAAATATCAAAATTCATGTGTTTATATTTTTATGTTTTGGACTTATTTAAAAAATAATGATATTTTACAAATGGGAAATGAAATTTAAAAGATTCCTTTTGTAATATGTGTATTATCATGTCTACAATCATTTCCCAAAGTTTTATATTTTTTAGAATTTATTTGCTATTTTTAAATGCACTTGAAAAGTCAGATTTTGGACATGCACACTGTCTGTGCATGTTCATAAGTCGACTTATCAGGGTTGATAAGTTGACTTATGAACTCGTCTAGAATGTGCATTCTTTTCTCTGCTAAGTCGACTTATTCATGAACACAAGTCGACTTATGACCTGAGTTTTGTGTGTTAATTTTCTTCTACATGTCGACTTATGTGAACTTTCAAGTCGACTTGTTGTAAGTCGATCATAAGTCGACTTATACTAAGTCGAATGCAAGTCGACTTATAAATATGACTATTGCACAGTAACAGCTATTTCTAGGTTCTATTTTTGTGTGGGTTTTTGATCATTTCCTTGGGGTTTTGGCTGATGTCTTGGGTTGTTATAAATACCGTATTGCATTCGACTCTCCAAAAAACCAAGAGAAGGTTTTAAGAAAGTTTAACAAGGGTGTAGGCTGTCTAAAAATCACAATGGATAGCTGATCCCTATCAAGCTCCGACAATGGAAGTCACAATCAGACGACTTTCTAATCACTGTATTCGCAATTCTACAATCGCTACAAACACGGCCTCATTTCTGAGATGATTGATCTTGATGGTTGCGACAACAACATGACTAATATTATATTAGCAACTATTAGAGATGCTGATAAGCAGTGTAATGATTTCAGATAATATTATATTAGCAACTATTAGAGATGCTGATAAGCAGTGTAATGATTTCAGAAATAAAAGGTTGGATGTAGTTGGTGAGTTGCTTGGTAGAGAGCTGTGGGCAAATATTCATCTAAAAACACCATGGATATTGATTCCCGTCAAGTTCCAACAACGAAAGCTACAATCAAATAGCTTTCGCGCCGACAATCGAAAGCTGCAAATGGAGGACTTTTTACATAGATCGAGAAGAGTTACAATTCAACGACACTTCCGACAACTGATGAAAACTCTATTCAGCAGTCTTCACATTCTGCAGTGAAAGTTACAATCTGACGACTTTCACATTCCACAATAGCTAAAGCTAGGATTACTGAACAACAGTCCTTGCAACGCTTTACAGAAGAAGTTACAAGTCAACTAGCTCCTTCTAAAACACGAATGTCATCCCCGCGTTACAATTCTGGAAGTGCAGGCGACCCCCGCGTTTCCATGCACAAGCTAAACGTGAGCGACCCTCGCGTTCAATGATGTTCAGCCAACACCCAACCTCGTGTCTCAATTCTAAGAGGCGACGTTGGGTTTTGAACGCCAGATTGGGCGTTTGACTCGTTCAAATACGAGTCGAACGGTTTTAGAACCATTTTCCCCATGATCTGAGGAAATCACGCCCACTCAGAAGCGGATTTAGAGGGCAGTTACAACCTCTGATCCTCCTATAAAAACTCAACAAACTCAACTGAGTTAAAGGCTGGCTTTTTTGGAACGGAAGAGCTGGCAGTAGGTTGGATGTTCAGGATCTCCACCACTCAGGTTTGGTGATTCATTAGCAGTAGCAGTAAAATCCTTGGAGATAGGATTTTTGAATCAAATTCAGAAGATCAAATCTGAGAGGATTCTTCAACAACAGAATATCAGCTTGGTCATTAACCGAATTTTCGGTTCTAACAACTCTATTAACAGAGTTCTAACTCGTTCAGAGTTCTTAAACTCATTCAGAGTTATCCATTAAACTTTCCACAGAAGTTCATTGTTCCCACGAGATAGAAGACGGTCGGATCGTCAACGGAGAGCAAATTCGACGCGAGCAATCGAAAGAGGAATTCCATCGTTACCAAGAAGAACCCAGTTTTAAACAAAGGAGAGAATCAAATTCGTTCTATTCTCTTTTGTAATCGAATTGTAATTGGAATCAAAGAAATACAAGTCAATTTTCTTTGTTCTCTTCTTTGCAATTTTCCCAACAAACAAAAGATGGCGACTCCGCTGGGGACTAGCTTTTCCGACGAGGAAGTGGTGGCGCAGTCCGACGTCCACCTCATGGGAACCACTGTAGAAACTCTCGTCGTGGAGTTTGATCAAGCTAAATATGAGGAAGCCTTATCCTCTGGATCGCTTAGCCCCAAGGCTAAGCATGGTGTCCGCAAGATCTCCAAGGAGATCAATTCTGTTGTTGAAGTGCCGAAGAAAGCCCTCTCCTTAGGCCAGGAACTCAAACTAGCTCTGCTAGCTGAAGATCCCATCTCCGCGTCAGCCAGACATACTTCGGGCCACAAACGGCCTCTGGAGGAGATGAGGTCCATGAGCGTCAACGACGCTGCTGCTAAGGCTTTGAAGCAAGCCAAGAAAAACGCCGCTCGCAGACGAAGAAGATCCATACGTCGAGCACACTTGCGTGAAAGCCGAATGTTGGCCCAACGCGAGGACCGCGTTTCTGAAAATTCACCCGAACCTAGCGTTCCCAAGGAAGAACGCTCACTTCGCGGCAACGAGCCTGACTATGAGCCTCGGCTTATACAGCTGAAACGTGACCCTGAGTGGCGCGTTGTTCCTTCAAAACGCAGCCCTCAGAAGGGGGCTGTCAAAACTAAACGCGACCCTCAGGTGCACGTTCAAACAAAACATGACTCTCAAGAGTCTGTTTCACGAACCAAACGCGACCCTCAGGGGCGCGTTCAGACAAAACATGACCCTCAGAGGTCTGTTTCATCATTTAAACGTAGGCCTCGGCCTAATGTTTACAAATCTCAACACGACCCTTGCGTTATTTCTCAGGATCGTGACCCTAGATCCGTTCTTCAAGAACGCGATCTTCAAGAGGTCCGCCAGGTTCAGAAAAGTCAGCGTGGCTTCAAAATCCACGTTCGACAAGAACCAATCTCACCCACCAAAGGGCAGGGGGTTCCATCTCCGCCTCCATGCCCGGGGAAAGTCTCCTCCTAAGTTCCTGATCTGTGGGAATTACTGTCGAGAGGAAAACCAATAGCACAAGCAGCTCACTCATGTCAATGTGAGAGGCTTATATCTGCAGTCCTGTCAGAATGCCATTGT